TTCGTCTGAACGAATGTCTGAGGTGGAAAAGAAACCTTTTGTATAAGAGGTCTGAAACTATCGATAGTCGACACTATCGTTATTATGCGATAGTTCTTTAGGAACCATGGATAACTATCGATAGTTTTCGATAGTCTTTTAAACTTACAATTTGGCTTTATATTGCGCTTGGCATATTTGTAAAAAAGGCGTGAGTAGTAGGTACTCATGAAATTTGATGTGTAAACATATGCGTACGCCAAAGCACAAAAGTACTTTTACATATATGCAAATATAATCTCAATCAAAGATCGTTAGCTGTCAAATTGGTTGTTATTCTCAAAACTCGAGGAAAAGCTTCTTCTCTGTGCCACCATGGTCACTTTTTTCTGCTACACATATTATGATCTTTAAATATATTTTAACTTAGTATTTTATTAAAAATACCTTTACAAACCTCTTTTCCTCGCTAGCGTAAATTTTTGTTTACTTTTAAATTGGACATTCCTTCTGTTCTTCGCAAGTATAATCGATAAAACTAGGTTGGGCACCAAAAAGGTATCGGCTTAATCTGAGATATTACAACGCTTTTATCAACTTGCAATGTTGTGTTCCAGAAACTTTCAATGTTGGGTGTCCGACACCATAAAGCAAAGCTTTGAAAAGCTCCTATAAAAAAGCATAGTGAATAGGGCGAGGTAGATGACATCTAGATGTCGCCATATGTACTACGTTTGATATACCGGAAATAGACGTCACGCCATTTCTTTAAATAAAATTAATTGGTGCTCGTTTGTATGTACATACATATGTAAATGCATGTGTGTGCACCTTTCTATTAATATCGTTGAATTATTTTAATATCTATTGCAAACTTTTATTCAGACAGGACTAAAAAGTAGAAAATAAATAATATAAAAAAAACTTTTTAATATACAACGCTTTTATAAATGGACTAAAAAGTAGAAAATAATACTTCTCAGTCCCATAGAATATGTTTTGATAACTTTTGATTTTGAAATTTTAGCAAAAGTCATTATAAACAATCTATGAAATTGAAAATGAAAAGCGTGGGCCGCATGTAATACACTTGAATTGATATGAAAAGTAATATATGTATGTATGTATGTGGGTATATGAATAACGACCGCTTAAAATCGATTTCAAAGTTCTACTTTCGCTGTTATGTAGTTTGACTATTGTCAACTAAATCGAATGCTTTGTAAGTGAAGTGACTTGTGGACCACTTGAGGTATAGGTGGACCAGTTGGTAACCACTTTGGGACCAGTTGGTACCAGTCGGGGCCAGTCCGGGAATCAGTTGGGAAACAGTTTGGGAGTAGCCGAAACTAATGACCTTCGGCCCAGTTGGGGACCAGTTGGTATTTTTAAGCTCCTGTGGCCGTTTTAAGGGTAATTCTTGGGCTCCTGCACTGCCGCTCGGGGTTTCTGCCTTCTACGGTGGTAATTTTGGGCCGGGTTGCCTGTTTTGGCGGATTGTTGTGCTGTGTGTCGCGTATTACGTGTACCGGGTACCACTTTCTCGAGCGAATTGCTCTGGGGAACCTGTTGTGTGAGTTGCTGGCTTTTTGGCTAGACTTTGAGGAGGGTTTATACACGCATATCGGCGGAAATAGACGACACGCCATTTCTTTAAATAAAATTAATTGGTGCTCGTTTGTATGTACATACATATGTAAATGCATGTGCGTGCACCTTTCTATTAATATCGTTGAATTATTTTAATATCTATTGCAAAATTTTATTCAGACAGGACTAAAAAGTAGAAAATAAATAATATAAAAAAAAACTGTTTAATATACAACGCTTTTATAAATGGACTAAAAAGTAGAAAATAATACTTCTCAGTCCCATAGAATATGTTTTGATAACTTTTGATTTTGAAATTTTAGCAAAAGTCATTATAAGCAATCTATGAAATTGAAAATGAAAAGCGTGGGGCGCATGTAATACACTTGAATTGATATGAAAAGTAATATATGAATGTATGTATGTGGGTATATGAATAACGACCGCTTAAAATCGATTTCAAAGTTCTACTTTCGCTGTAGAAATTTTAGGTCTACGTTATGTAGTTTGACTATTGTCAATTAAATCGAATGCTTTGTATTGCATGCGCTCCACGTTTTTCATTTTCAATTTCATAGATTGTTTATAATGACTTTTGCTAAAATTTCAAAATCAAAAGTTATCAAAACAAATTCTATGGGACTGAGAAGTATTATTTTCTACTTTTTAGTCCATTTATAAAAGCGTTGTATATTAAAAAGTTTTTTTTTATATTATTTATTTTTAGTTATAATTTTCTATGGCTAATCTCTTTTTCTAATTACAGATTAGGGAGTTAAGTTCGAAAATGAGGATAATCTTTTTATATGTAAACCTATTATTAGGCGATTCAGTTACATACATACACATGTAGGTTAGGTTAGAAATTAAACATTAATTTCACTATGCGACAGTCAAAATCGGGATGGGATGAAACCAACGGGAAATGTTATATCGGTCAAAAACAAGTTATACGTGGCCCGGCGTTTCGCTGGGTCACGTCTAGGAATCGAGATATATCGATTTGAAGTTAGTAACTATCATATAGGGGAAATTGTCACCTTTGTTGGTCTTTTTATACCTTTTGTAGAGACCTGCACTAGTGTTGTGTGAGTGTGGGAGACACAACGATTCAGAGTAACGAACATCCATATTAGTTAGTTGAATATCGAGCGTGAACCTGTAAAGTGGCACTATCAATGAACTCAATAAAATATCATATTTCCATGGTATAGCACTACCGAGAATAATTGGATTTATTATTAAACTGTTTAGAAGTGAACAAGTAGGTGAGCTATTACAGTGGCGACGAGAAAGGGATCAAATTGACCCGGAAAAAGTGTAATTCATAATGTGGAAAATTTCTGCATGCTACATTTTATAAGTGCAAAATGGCGGCCATTCGTCTTCACTACTCGTCGATGTGATCCGGCGAGTTTAAAATCCACTCGTTCGGAGCTAAATAAAGAGTACATGTTTCATTTCAGATGTAATTCAACTAGTGGCCAAGAAGGCGAGTGAAAAGTACGTAAAGGAATTGCATTAAATTGCGCATGTAAACCAGAAGGTGTCGAATTCAATTTCGTTAGATTCAAGGGTATTAAATACGAAAGCGAGCACAATTAATTGTGCACATATGTATGTATATACATATATACAAATATGAATAACTATTCATAAACGATTATGTTTCTGATCTCAGATCGCAGGGTGACAAATTAAATTTTGTCAAAGCCACTATAAAGGCGCTATAAAGGTGTAACAAAATCTGATTTCAGAACAAAGGGCGACGAATTCAATTTTGTCAGTGGATAACACGTAAAGTGACAAATTCAATTTTGTCAATGCCACCAGGCGATTTGGAGACGTAACAAATTCGACTAGAAACGTAGTAAAAACAAATTTTTTCCACCGCTAACAGAAGTACACCAAAAGTGACAAATTAAATTTTGCCAATAATATCAAGCGTAACACAGGTACAACAACGCACTCGAAGTAGAAATGGAGATTCGTCCATTCTTGTGTGACAGCATAGATAAGGCCCTTGTTCGGTCAGAGTGGGAAAAGTGGTTTCGATCCTTCTCCTTATATCTTCAAGCCGAAGACATAAGTGATGAAGGGAAAAAGAAAAACAAATTACTGCACCTGGGGGGCCCCCAACTGCAGGAAGTAGCTTTTAACATTCCTGGAGCCTTAGTCGAGGGAAGTAAGGAGGTGAATTCCTTCGAAGTATTAGTAGCCAAACTTGATGAATACTTCTCGCCAAAGCGTAATTCTACTTTCGAAAGACACCTTTTTCGAAATTTATCCCCTGTTGAGGGGGAAAACTTCAACAAATACTTACTACGACTCCGGCATCAAGTGTCGAAGTGCGAGTTTGGGAAAACGGCCGCAGAAATAAATGAAATTTGCATCAAAGATAAAATAATAGACTCGTGGGCTCCAGTCGACTTGAAGAAAAAGCTTCTAGAGAAAGAACAGAGTTTAAAAGAGATAGTAGAAACCTGTCAAATTTATGAACAAATATCCAATCAATCGGGGTCTATGTTTACGAAGTCGGCCGACGAGTCTGTTAATCGAATTACTGCAAAGTCACGCGGGGCAAAGCAGAACAATGATGAGTGTGGCAGATGTGGCCAAAATGGACATTTTAGTAACGATCCGAAATGTCCGGCGAAGTCTGCGGAATGCAACAAATGCGGCTTGATTGGACATTTTGCTAGGAAATGTAGAACAAAGAAACGAAAGAGCGGTCACAATCAAGGTTCTCCCAAGAAGAAGCGCACAGAGTCATACAAAGTGCGAAATGTAGAAACGAGCGAAGAAGAAGAGGTAAATTGTTTCAAGATATCTAATGACACGGCTGTAGACGAAAAACTGGTATGTGGTATCGGTGGTTGCCCGATATCAATGATAATTGATTCAGGGACGCGCCTCAACTTGGTGAGCGAAAGTGACTGGGGAATACTGCGTAAAAACACGGCTGTGATATTCAATGAACGGGAAGACCACACAACCCAGTTTAAGGCCTATGCGTCAAATAAAGTTCTGGACGTACTTCAAGTTTTCGAAGCACCTATATCGGTAAAGAACAAATTGGAGAAAATCGCTACCTTCTACGTAATAAAGAATGGGTGCCAGTCCTTATTGGGGCGCGACACAGGTATGCAGCTGGGAGTTTTAAAAATAGGCCTAGGGGTAAATAGCGTGGAAATTGCACAACCTTTCCCAAAAATGCTAGGAGTTAAGATCAAATTATCAATCGACCCTACCGTAAAACCCGTACAACAGCCGATGCGTCGCATACCCATAGCCTTGGAAGAGCAGGTAGAGGAAAAAATTAACCAAATGATTGCTCTCGACATTATCGAGCCGGTTTCAGGGCCCTCTTCATGGATATCTCCAATAGTCATTGTGTATAAGGAAGGGGAGAGATGAGGTTGTGTATAGATATGCGGCGAGCAAACCAAGCAGTGCTGCGCGAAAATCATCCGCTACCAACGTTTGAGATATTCATGACGAAGCTAAGAGGCGCCAAGTACTTTTCTAGGATCGACTTGAAGTGGGCATATCACCAGCTAGAGCTGGATGAATTCAGTCGCTATATTACCACTTTCATTACGCATAAGGGTTTATTTAGGTATAAGAGGCTGATGTTTGGGATAAATTCCGCCCCAGAGATCTTCCAGCGAGTCATAGGAAAACTGTTATGCTCTTGCAAGAATGCATTTAATTATATAGACGATATCATAATATTTGGCAAAACGGAGGAAGAACATGACGAAGCGGTAAAAAGAGTGGTAGACGTGTTTAGAGATAACAATTCAATGTTGAACGAAAAGAAGTGCATTTGGAAGGCACAAAAGCTAAAATTCTTGGGACACCTGTTATCTGAGGAGGGCATAGCACCTGACCCTGATAAGATTGAAACGATAAGGGACTTCCGCCCACCACAGTCGAAGGAAGAGGTAAGGAGCTTCTTGGGGCTCGTGACATACGTGGGGAAATTCCTCCCGGACCTCGCTGATACAACAGAACCGTTGAGAAAATTACTCAAATTAAACCAAAAGTTTGTCTGGGATAAAAGCCAACAAGAATCTTTTGACAAATTGAAGGAGGGCCTATCAAACGTACCAAACCTGGCATACTTTAACGCGAAGAAAAGAACTCGTCTTATAGCAGATGCAAGCCCAGTAGCGCTAGGGGCGGTACTTGTACAGTTTGACGATCAGAATGAGCCACATATCATATCGTTTGCGAGCAAAAGCCTATCAGATACGGAAAAGAAATACTCTCAGACCGAGAAGGATAGCCTTGCACTAGTTTGGGCCGTTGAGAGATACCACTACTACTTAATGGGGCTGCAATTTGAGTTAGTCACCGACCACAAACCACTTGAGACAATTTTCAAGCCGACGTCAAAACCTCCGGCGAGAATAGAGAGATGGCTTCTCAGGTTGCAGCCCTACAAGTTCAAAGTTGTATACCGTGCTGGTAAAGAAAACATAGCCGACTCGGTGTCTAGACTATCTAAAATCCAACGGACAAGCTCATTTGATGACGGCTACAACCACTCAATCATCCATATTGTTGAGAATGCGACACCCTCAGCGATGGGAATAAGCGAAATAGCGGCAGAGAGCGCAAAGGACAAAGAGTTAGTAGACACTATAACATGCGTTAAGAATGATCTATGGTCAGCCAATAAGGCAAACGTTTATTATCCGTTTCGGTACGAGCTGTCAGCTGTTGGTGATATTTTGATTAGAGGATCTCGCATTGTAATACCCAAGACACTGAGGGAGAAAATTTTGAGACTAACGCACGAGCGACACCCGGGAGAGTCAGCGATGAAGCGTAGGCTACGATCAAAGGTGTGGTGGCCGTTGATAGACAGGGAGGCAGAAAATTTCGTAAAAAAATGTGTCAATTGCCTACTAGTGTCCCAACCTAGTAAACCACCACCAATGCAAAGACATGTGTTCCCAAATGGTCCCTGGCAGTGTGTTGCTACCGATCTATTGGGTCCTCTTCTTAACAACGACTACATACTTGTCCTTATTGATTATTATTCCCGCTACCAAGAGGTAAAATTCCTAAAAAAGATCACGTCTGAAGCCATTATTTCCGTCATGCAAGAGGTGTTTAGTAAATTGGGCATACCTAACTCAATAAGGGCGGATAATGGCAGACAATTCACCAGCTCCGAATTTAAAAACTTCTGCAAAAATCACAACATCACTTTAATTACGACTCCCCCATATTGGCCTCAGGCCAATGGGGAAGTTGAAAATATGAACAAGTCGTTAGTAAAGAGGTTAATAATCGCGCACAATAACAAACGAGACTACAAGAAGGAGATCGAGGAATTTGCATTGATGAACAATGTCACGCCCCACGGTACAACAGGATCCTCACCCTCAGAGCTCATGTTCAATCGTGTCATTCGTGATAAAATCCCAGGTATTCAAGACTTAACAGACGACATGTTGGACTCGGCTGCCCGAGATTATGACATTATTAACAAATGGAAAGGGAAAGAGAAGGCGGACATGAGACGAAGGGCAAAAGAAAGCGACATTGAGGTAGGGGATAAGGTCTTATTAAAGAACGTGGTATTCGCGCACAAACTTACTCCAAACTTCGATCCGACGGAGTACACAGTAAAGGAAAGGAGTGGCAATGAGGTGATAATAGCAGCTGGGGAAAGAACGTTAAGAAGAAACATTAGTCACATCAAAAGGCTACCGGCATCCGAAACAATCTCAGACAACGAAAGTAATCCTACGACTTCAGGGGAATCCATGCAGTGCGGTCAACCATCACAACAAATCTCAACTGACGCCACTTCATCAACGGGAGCGCCAGCGGCAGACCCAGAGGCTTAACAAAGATAAAAGAAAGACGAAAATAAGGACGGGATGTAGAGACCTGCACTAGTGTTGTGTGAGTGTGGGAGACACAACGATTCAGAGTAACGAACATCCATATTAGTTAGTTGAATATCAAGCGTGAACCTGTAAAGTTGCACTATCAATGAACTCAATAAAATATCATATTTCCATGGTATAGCACTACCGAGAATAATTGTATTTATTATTAAACTGTTTAGAAGTGAACAAGTAGGTGAGTTATTACACCTTTCATGAGCATGAAATGGTATTATAACTTTGGTCCGATGTTTGTAAGTACCAGAACCAAAAGAGATAGACCCATGAAAATGTATACTTATATGATCAGAACGTCGAGCTGAGTTGATTTAGCCATGTCCGTCTGTCCGTCTGTCTGTCTGTTTGTATGCAGTCTAGTCTCTCAGTTTTCGAGATATCCGGATAAAGTTTGGTAGGTGGGTGTATTTTTATAATGTATTAATCATTTGTCGGAACCGGAAGAATCGGACCACTATAACATATAGCTCCCATACAACTGATTGTTCAGATATGAGATTTTTCATTAAAACTTCTCCATTTATGCAGCTACGAACATGAAATTTTGCAATACTTG